GCCCCCAGGGCGTTCCACCCTCCAGATATATATAGAAATATATATATATATATATATATATGGTCGCACCCCCGCCCAAGATCCATGTTTGCAGGCTCCATACCGTCTCATGCTTATTTACATATACGTGTACGCTAGTCATAAGTGCGAAAACCACCGTAAATATCGATATAATCGCCTTGTATCCTCGAATACATACAGGATGCATCGATAAATCTGTGGCCGAATTTCGGCCAACAAAAATAACACTGTATGTATTCGGAAAGCCGAAACGACCGGAAGGTATTGAATTTCATGTGCTGTGGTATTCAAAAACCTCGCGTATTTTTGCATTTTTCGGTTGTGAACGAACTGCAACTATACATTACTGATTTTCTTCATAGGTATCCCATCCCCAATGGTCACTGGCCAAGTGGGAAGCGACATGTCCACCCAGGACGCAAGTCATCACCAGACACAGCTGGCAGTGCCAGTTATGTTATCCTTCTTGCTCAAGGCCGTCAGGAGAAGGCTGTGCTTACGAGCCTCTCACTTTTTTGCAAACAGTTTGAGCCTGCTATCGCTAGCAGAAACAACGAAGGCTCATCTCCTCGCTGCAGCTACGTAAAGTCACCCCCGACCTGTGCAGCACAGCACTGCTAGGCGAATCCAGGTACCACAGCTGACTTCCCACCATAGCTTCGCACACGCGATGGGATCGGACCGTGGTCCTGTCATGTGGAGGTCTCTTAACCCTCTCATGTGCTCGTCGGTCCATCAGAATAGCAAACCTGCTCGGTGGAGATGGGAAGGGAGCCTCAATTGCTTGTCGGCCCAATGTGGTGCGGAGCAGCATGGCGTGCATCGGTCAATCGATCGCTCTGAACCCGGGCAACGTCATTCCCATGCATGCTGGATCTTATATGGGTCGGTTTCACATATCTTGTGAATGCTAGTGCGGTTACATGCTCGCTATGCGTGGGGTCCGCTCGTGCAGCGTGCAATTGAGTTGAATTGTTCGTGTTCTCGTTTTTTGTTCTTGTTCTTGTTGCTGATGTTGGTGATCATGATGATGATCGCTTTGATGATGATGGTGATGATGACGATGATGATGTTGATGATGACGATGATGATATTGGCATTGGTGATGACGATGACGAGGATGGTGCCATTGCTGGTTCTGGTAAGACTTCCTGTTCGGAGTGTTGTGTCGGGCTGAGCTTGAGGATCCTGTCGGCTTCGGCAGTTGGGCGCGGTTTGCTGCTCCACTTGCTTTTTGCGTCCTTCGCGCAGGCAGACGCACAAACAGTTTTTCCGTGTTTGTGTGCTTCGGTACGCGAGGGGGGGGTGGCCAAAACAAGTATATAATCCTGATTCTGCACCAGCATCTTCCTCGTCTTCATCATCTCAACCACCACACCCACCTCGTCGTCATCGCCATCAAAATAATGAGCTGTTTCTGCATGGTTTTTGCACCAACACTCGTCACCAGGCCTTGGCGTGCATCGGGCGCTGCTGTCTTGGTGCTGTGCCGAAAGGCCACGTGCCGAAGCAGAGTGCGTGGAGGCCGGTAGCCCTTGCGGTGGCGTTCTGCGCTTTCCTTGGCGATGCGGCAGCAGCACGGATCTTCGAGTCACGCTCACGATGGCTTACCGTGGCCTCAGCAAACTTCCTGGCTGCTGTGGCTTGTGCCAGCTTCCCACAAAGCTCGCGCAGACCTCCGCCTCTCTCAGAGTGGGCCGAAGGCTATGCGGGGCTTCGCGATCTCCGGCTTGGGCGGCAGCGACTGGACTCACGAGACTCGAGAGACTCGCGTCTGCGTGCTGGCGTGGTCGGAGGCCTGCGGCGGCTGAGCGCTCGATTTTTGCCTGCACGCAAAAAGGACTTGCTAGATCCGGCCTTCGTGAACTGCATCCTTGCCGAGCTTTGGCCAAGCCTACGTGGCATGCTGGAGGAAGATGTCGTCAAGGGCGAGTTTCAACAAATTCTTCAGAACGTCACAGCTGCGTTGAAGTTCGACAGGATTTGCCTTGGGCCGGAGCCTCTAAAGGTGCTCTCTCTGTCGATGGTCCCGGCCACCACCACCGAGCGCGCCATCACCATTGCCGCCGAGGTGGAATTCTGTGGCAAGGACCGCATCCGAGCATCGCCCTGACTGCGCCAACCCTAAACCCTGCGCCATACACTACACCGTGAAGTCTTACCACCAACGGCCGTTCCTTTTGGTGCGCGGATGCGAGGACGTGGACCTGACTTTGAGCCTCACGCTGGGCAGACTGGTCGGATTGTCGGTCAGTGTGGCTTAGCTCAAATGGCACTGTCGCAAGATGAGGGTACCGCAAACTCAGCATACTGTGACAGCACAGGGCGGTCGGCCTTGCTTGCAAGAAGTCATGTTGGAAGGTAGTTGTCTGCACTGCCGCTGTTGAGTGGGTTACCAAGGTAAACCGGTTCTCACTTCGAGGATCGCTCCTTCTGTCGTTCCGATATCTGACCCCGCACCTTCCGTAGCTTGGCGGCAGTGCGAACGCAGTCAGCAGATCCGCTACCAGCTCGAGCGCTCTTGGCCTCGAGGCTGACGCAGGGCCTCACCATCGCCTTCGTGAACCCACCGGCAGTGGATTTGAGTTTGCGCACCCCGGCGGGTTCGCTGCCCTTCCTGCCGGAGCGCGAAACTTGGCAGCATCCCTCCACCGAGAGCGGCCAATTTAGGGTTCGTGTGAGCACTTGGTCCGCACTCGCCTGAGGCTCGACAGGCCCTGATCGCTTTGGTCGACTCCACCCTTGCCCGAGATTTGGTGCTGCCGTGGCCCGTCGAAGCGTCGAAGCGACAGGGAGGCCCTAGGCCTTTGCCTGCTCCCACCTTTGCGGCAACCAAGGAATCGCTTGCCGGTGCCTTTCGGCACGCTCTGGCCTCTCGAGCGGCTGCAGCACGCCCGACCCGAGGAGCGGTGAGGGTTCCTGCGATTTCTGACTCAAAGTTTCCATGGCTCCAGGGTGTGCTCTTCTGCCGAGTTCTTGGTGCTTGTGGTGCTGCTGGATTGCAACAAGATTCGATGCATGCAGTACTTCCAGGCCGAAAGCGCAGTATCACAATATCCTCACGCCGAAAAGAACTCGTGGATCCAAAAAATGCTCGTAGACAGGGTGTTGAGGAAGGATGCTAGCAGAGCTTGGAACGAGTCCTCGTATTTAAGGTGACCGCGGAGCGAAACAGCTTTGGTGCTGAGCGCGCCGTCCGCTGCTGCAGCGACCCGAGAGTTGCAGAAGCTGTCACGGGTGAGGTGGTGGATGGTGGTATATGGTGGTGGTATACGGTGTTCGTGCGCTCCGAGGTCTTTCTCTAGGCGCCGCCACTTGGAGATCCGTTGCGGCACACAGTCCCTGGACGGCAAAGAAGTGCGATCCAACCATGCAGCGGCCCCCTCCCGCCCTCCCTCCCTCCCTCTAGCGAAACGCCTTGCGCAGAACCTTGAGGTGAGGATGGCGAACTGATCTGGGATGAGCAGCCCACTTTTGTGGTAGATGCTTTCTCGAGCCAGGTGCGGGAGCTGGATCTGGGGATCTTGGGATGCGCAGCGCCATCTTGCGCAGGAGTTGAGGATCGCGCTGCATGAGTGCCACACCTTCAGTGACCGGCAATCTGGTCAAGTGAAGGCATGGCATGGTCTGGCATGGTCTGGCATGGTCTGGGGCTTGCTGGTGTGCACAGCCGCATAAAGCCGCCATGCCGCAGGCGCTGCCTTTGGAGGAGCTGGTCGAGCGGAGCAAGCACCAGCACATGCCCAGCTGGGCTCTTCAGGCCGGGCCGGGCGGATGCCGCGGATGCCATGGGCCTGACATGTCGTTTGTCTGCTGAGCCAGGCTTCGGCTGGGAGCGCGTCAGGAGGCCTTGGAAGCCCTCAGTGCCCTGGAGATAATGTGCTCAGATTATGCCCTTGAAGCAGCATCACTTCGAACACCCGCCGCGACCCCATGTAATGGCGGCCAGGACACTGGACACTACTAGTACAGGTGTTTCGAGGGCACCCACCCCACAAAATCGCAAAGCCTGCGAAACGGCGGGGTTACGAAACGACCCAGAGCAACAAAGATGTTTTTTTTCTGATACCGCCTGTATGGTTTTTGATTAGAGAACTTCAATAGTTGGGTTTTTGTGTGTTTTTTACAGCAGATCATTGTAGAGTGAACAGCAGAGCCAGGCCCCAGAGCGCTGGGATCCCCGTTGTATCCGTTTCCAAACTTCTATCTCCTGAAGACCAGGGCTTATTTAGGGGTTCGAGGTTTCTAGAGTTTCTGGCTTCAGGGTTTCTGGATGTTCCTGGATTTAGGGTTTTGGTTTTCTTGGTCTAGGGCTAGGGATTCTGGGTTCAGGGGTTTAGGGGTTTTGGGTTTAGGATGGTTTAGGGCTTCTAGGTTGGAGGTTTCTGGTTCTGGACTGAGGTGCTTAGGGTTTGTGGGTGAGGGCTTCCGGGAATGCGGGGTTTCTGCGTTTAGGGGTTTAGGGTTTCTGGGTTTCCGGGTTCAGGGGTGTTCTGGGTTTGAGCAGAAAGTTGAGCAGTCAATGAGTAGTCCATGTTAAGTCCATGCTGTGAAGAGCCCAGATCGAACTCCCCCCCAAACCCTTCATTTTATGCATTCCCGGGGTCCGGTACAAAAAAAGTATTCGGGGGGCGGGGGGGGGGCGGAGAGGGGGGGGGCTGGTACAACGACTTGGGCGTGGGGGTAGACAATGGTATAAAAGTATCAATAGTTTTGGCTTAATTTCTAACACCGACAATCGGGTTCTACAATCGTGTTAAAGCCATAAAAACCAAATATCAATTTTCTGGGATCAGACAACAGAAATATTCGATGCTCGGGGGACGCAGACGATCCTGAGAAGCCGAATTCTGTGGATCAGCCAGGACTTAGTCACTTCCAGGGCTTTGAAGTCAAAATGGTGAGTGTCCCCGCGAGAAGACGCGCAGGCGACGGTTCGGCAGCTTCCTCTGCTCCACCCGCAGCGCACATTCTCGCGTTCTTGCAGTCACGTGCGGGCCGGGTCCGAGTAAGAACGTCATCCCCTTAGCTTTTCTATTAACGTATACGAAATGGTGTTAACACGCTGTTTGGAAACGACAGTGAAGCTGCAAGAAACCGCAAGAACTATACCAGAAGGCATTATGCCTGCATGCTTTCGCCATTGTCGTCACGGTCCCGTATGCACCAGAGAGATTTCAAGGATCCTTCTCTCGGCAATCTTTCATCCGGTCTCGCGGCAGCGTGCCTCCTTTGACAAGAAGCTTGGCTCACTCGTGATGATCACCGCAGCTTGGCGTGATGCAGTTTGAGGCCGTCGTCATTTGGCCACCTGATTCGTGCGATGTGCGCTCGATGTGCTAACGGGTTAAGGCGATACGATCATTGACACCCGCTAGATCAGCCCATCCCGATTTCGTGTGGCGAAGTCTGAGGTTGACTGCGCCCGTCGCATCCCTGATGCCTTTGCTGGCCGCCGCCTCGCGGTGCGCGCGTGGCTTGGCGGTTTGCTCGTCGAGGTCTGTGAAAGTCTTCCATCCGCTTCGTGAGGTCGAGTTGCCGAAAGTTAAAGTGCATGGAGTCGTTTATGACTGCGGCTCGTCGCAGAGCCTCCCTTCACTCTTGCGGAAGGTTCCTTGCCACTCGCGGCCGCCCAGCCAATGGTGATCGACCGGCCATACAAAGCCCAACCCTCACACCGACTGGCCTTGAATGTCTTGCGTGTTCTTGCATATTCAGGACTGTGCCACTATTGCAAGCTGCAAAAATGCACCGTCGACTGCTGCATACTGCTGCAAATGTAGCCTTGTGCATCGCAGCGGACACGGTATACGGCGTATACAGTCATTTAGGGACCATGTAGGGAGCGAGGGCCACATGTCTCGAAACAGCCGACAGCAGGCTACTCCCTTCGAGCTTCGTACGTGCTTCCTCTGCATGCAACTTGGATCCATTGCTTATTGGAATGTTTCGGGCAGAACAGTTCAGAGTTCCCATAAGCCTGCGCATCTGTGGACTCCAGGCAGCCACTGGAATCCTGGAGAGCACCTTGGACTGGCCGAGCGAAGCGTCGCGCGTCCGCGGCCATACCCCCACGCCGCTTCCGAGGACTTCTCCTCTGCAACTTCACAGCGCCGACTTCGGCTTTGGGCGACTCCTCAGACGAGGACATCCCCCGTCCCCCGTCGGAGTGAGGATTTGTGGCCTCCTGCGCTGCAACCAGGATCCCCGCGGGACAAAGCCTTACCAGGGCTACCTGAAGTCAGAGGAGGCTGGCGCTCTGCTTTGAGCTGGAGGCATGACATCCGCAACCAGTCTGAGCACTTGCGGGTTAATTGGGCGACAGAAGCAGCAAGAAGAGAAACCGGGCAGCTTTTGACAGCAAATGGATTAGGGTGTAGGGTCACCTGGTGACAGAAAGCAGCAACAAGAGAAACCAGACAGCTTGTGACAGCAGAATGGTTTAGTGCTGGAGGGACAGCTGGTCACAGAAAGTAGCGACAAGAGAAACCGAACAGCTTCAGACAACAGAGTGGTTTCAGGGACAGTTGCTGACAGAAAGTAGCAACAAGAGAAACCGGACAGCTTCTGACAGCAGAATGGTTTCGGGTTTAGGGCGGAGCCGGCGAGCATCATGAGCATGAGCGGGAGCCGGCGAGGACTATGAGCATCAGCCGGCTCTTTGGGCAGAGTCGAACACAAGTAGAGATTGCTTTATGGCCTGAGGCATGACGGTTTGAGCTTTGAGCCTTAACACACTCTCTCTCTCTCTATTTGGGTCCACCAGGGTCCTCCACATTGATACCTGCAAGGTGTTTTCAGTGACCCGAAAACCTGGCAAACTTTCCAGCAAATTTGGGTGGGGCAAACCACTCGATTCGTCTTCACCTAGGGTGGGTTTGCACTACCCAAATGAATGATTATGAGGAACAACCCACAGAGACGGACCCGGTGGACCTTCATCTCTCTCTCTCTCTCTCTCTCTCTCTCCCTGCAAAACAGCTTGACCTTGACCAGCCCAGAGACTCCATCGGCACAATCGCATCCCCAAAACTTGTCCACAGATCCTGGGCTGAGGCTGCAAGACTCCGCATTAAGGCGACCCCCGTGCACAAGCTTTCATCCCTCGGCCAGACCCGAGCGTCAAACACTGACTCCGATTCAAGCTCCCACTACTCTCCACCAAGAGGCTCACTGTCGTCGCATTGGAAAAAATGTCACACCTCCTGGTCACATGTGACACGATAAGGCTGGTGTGCTTTTGGTTTGGGAGGGGGGTGGCAGAGGAAGGCACCCATGGATGATCCCCTTGCCCGTGACCTTCCAGGCTCGATGGCGAGATCGGCTCAGCAACCTCTGGTCCTTGCTGAGTGCCACTAGGTGGCGCAGGAATTGCCCTTGGATTAGGTAGGTCGACCGTCGACTCTGCTTCAGATTTGGACGACAACCGTTCTGCCGGTTCGCGTTTCAGGGTTAGGTGCACCATGGTGCACCCGGCTTTGAGAACTTCGACCAGGCCTGAAGATGCTCCCAAGCTACGTGAGGGCAGGGTGCAATGCCCAGCAGTATAAGCCAAGACGTCCTAGTACATCTCTTTCCTACGTGCTTGTGGTTTCCGCAGCACAATGTCTAGCGCACCATACATACTTCTGGCAAGAGAGGTCCGTAAACTCTTGTGTTAGCACTCGCATAGAGACATGCATGCATGCACACCCGAACTTAGTGCGTGCGTGAGTGCGTGCGCGCGTGTGTGTGTCTGTCTGTGTGTGTGGGTGCATGCTCGTGTGTACGGTTCTTTCAAAGTCGGAATTAAGCGGATATGCGAAGAAAGCAAACATGCCCGAACAAAGAAACTTGGGGTAGCATTCCAGATGCTCGGGGAATGCATGTGGCGGGGCAAGACTTGAGGTTTCTGTTGGAATTATGATGTGTGCCGCCTGGCGTCCTGTTTGCGGACAGCCCTCTTTCGCAAGGGTTCTTTCAATGTTGGGATTTAAACAGGGATATTTCGGTATGCGAAGAACAACATGCCCGAGCAAGATGACTCGTTGCGAAATTCAGTGTAAACTGGCTTCTTGCAGTCTTGAACTTTTTGGGTGCAGTGAGATACGAACAGACGGCCACTCAACACTTTTGCAAATTGCAAATGTAGGGGGCATGGCAGATTTGCTTGCTTGTCATACTTTCAGCAGCACAGAAAATCCACCATGTGTCTTACAGTGAGGGGCTCCGCTTGCTACATCCCACATGTAAACAAATAAATAAATAAATAAATAAATATATATATATATATATATATATATATGTGGTACCCCCCCTCCCCGGTACCTAGGTTGTCTCCTGTTCAAGTCAGCCGCCTTGTCCCAAAAAGGTATTCGTGTCCCTTTGTTGTTGCGTCTCTGGGAAAGCAAATGTTTGCTTACTATACTTCTGGCTCCCGAGGCTTCTAAGTTTAGAGTTTACTGGATGTTTCTACGTTCAGGGTTTGGTATGGTTTTTGCTCCCGAGGTTTCTCCAAATTCATGGAACTTGTGGGACATGGTGGTAAAACCAACATTTTCCGTCATTTGTCTGTGGCGAATCATCGAAAATGTTGGTTTCACCAAGATTTCCAACAATTTCCGTGATTTTCCAAACTATGGCACCGGCTCCAGATGTTTTTCGAAAATCATGGAAATTGTTGGTTTAACTAACAGTTTCCATGATTTCCCACAGACAAATCATGGAACATGTTGGTTTTACCAACATTTCCGACAATTTCCATGACATTCCTCACTATAGCTCTGGCTCAAGATGTTTCTCGAAAACCATGGAAATTCTGGGTAAAACCAACAACTTCCATGATTTCCCAAAGACAAATCATGGAAATATCAGTTTTACCCACATTTCCAACAATTTCCATGACTTTCAAAACCATGGCTCCGGCTGAAGATGTTTCTCGAAAATCATGGAAATTGTTGGTTGTACCAACATTTTCCATGATTTCGCACAAGCAAATGATGGAAAATGTTGGTTTTACCAACCTTTCCTAACAATTTCCATGATTTCCCACTATGGCTCTGTCTCACGAGGTTTGTCGAAACTCATTCAAATTGTTGGAATTGTTGGTTTTACGTTTTCCGTGAGCCAATCATGGAAAATGTTGGGTTTACTAACATTTCCAACAATTTCCATGATTTCCCAAGCTATGGCTCTGGCTGGAATTGTTGGTTTAACCAGCATTTTCCGTGAGCCAATCATGGAAAGTGTTGGTTTTACCAACAATATCCATGATTTCCCAAACTATGGCTCTGGCTCACCAGGTTTTTCGAAATTCATGGAAATTGTTGGAATTGTTGCTTTCACCAACATTTTCCGTGAGCTGATCGTGGACAGTTTTTGGTTTTTGCCAACGATTTCCATGATTTCCCACACTATGGCTCTGGCTCACCAGGTTTCTCGAAATTCACAATTGTTGGAGTTGTTGGTTTTACCAACATCTTCCGTGAGCCACTCATGGAAAGCATTGGTTGTACCAGCAAATTGAATGATACCAAGTGTTTTTGCTTTTGGGGGAGCCCAAAGAAACTGCTAATGCTCATAATGCTCAAACGCGCCGCTTCCCACGACCTAATTGGTGCTCATGATGCTCGTCCGAAATTTGCGATTCAGCACATCTTGTGTGCTCATGCGACGCGTGTTTGCAAAATGGGCCGGTAAGGTATTCACGTCCTTGATTAAACTCATTGTTTTGTCCAACACGAACCTAGGAAATAATCTCTGCTTGAAGACGTTACTGTGCGAACACCAGTTTAGTGGTTTTTCTGCTTATCACGAACAGAGCTATACTTCATGTCTACGGCTCGAGACTGTACTATGGGGAAATTGTTATCATTTAATCCCACGCTTCCTAAGACAGGTATATAAGGTATATACTTACGTCACTTCTCTCTTGGTGTTTGCATCGGGGGGCTTTAGTCGTTGTTTATGCATTTTTGGTGTGGCTTTATTTGCTTACAATTAAGAGCGATTTCTCAAAAACCTGGCATTTGCACCAGAACTCTGTCATGCATCATTGTCCAATGGTCATCATTTGGTAGGTGCAAACTTTCAACATTTCGAAGAATGTTTTGAAAAGTCTGCGAATCCTAGCCCGACCAATAAATGCACAGGACTTGTATTAGGCACGCAGTTGGGATGAACTATACCCAGGTTCAACATGTCGAAATGAAATGGACCTGAAAAAAAGAAAAGCTAGCAACGTCGACTAATAAACAACGGAACATAGAACCTACAGTGTAATGTGCAACCACGGCATGTTGTATTATGTTTGACGTGGCGCACTACCTGTAACATTCCATTCTCAACAAGTTAGAAACAAGCAAATGCTTTAGTTGATTGACCATCATCCTACCAAGAGGTCTCATAATCACATTGTGACTGTTCAACAAGTACTGAATGGTAAGTTTATACTTATCAAAATGTATAACCACAGGACTCAGCAAGTAGTACATTTACTTTGTATACAATGCTTGGCTAGTATAAGCAAAGTTTACGAAACATATACGAAGTACTCTGAATGAACAATCACAACAGTAGTTGACACAGTGAATCTTGATTCAAAAATGATAAGACACCGGGATGTACATAATGTTAATCCGGTTAATAGTGATGAAGTACAATAACTACAGTTACATGATCTACGGTAATGGTTAAACCATGTGATAACAACATTGCGAGACGTAATACTAAAGCCACACTTGATTTGTTTGAGTTCGACATAGAGGAACAGGTTATGTAGCAGTGTAGACATGGCTGAGAAACCAAACGGAGATCCGATTCCCAAGGTAGTTAGGACTATACATCCAGCAAAAATACCTACACCTACACGTATCATAGCGGGTCACGAACTGCCACCATTGTTGCTGTTGACTGCTAATGTGACAGATACGCATGAATCATTGTCCAGTGGTTCGAAGACTAAAGATTTTTAACAGGTATAATGACACTATCTCACACTACTGCTTATTCGGTATATGAGCACATTAAGCAATGAACTCACTGACTAATTCGTGTACCAGACTGCAAAACCCACCAACAACACTGACATTGTTATGTATAAACAAGTGGACGTTCAATGAAGGGGTGTGTGTGTGTCTATAAACCATCACGGCAGCCAACTAAACATAGTCACCATCAACCTTGATACGAAATCTGCATGGGTGGTCACGAGGATGCTACAGCACACGAGGATGCTACAGCAGAGTCCCATGCCGTGCAAAGCTGTTTGTT